CAAGGGAAACTTGGTTTTGTGTTTGGGTTATGATATCGAGCCGACGGTGGAGCACTCGGTTGTGTAATGCGGGCTTGGCAAGGAGTAGTGTGGGCGGGCCGTTGGCTTGGCTTTGTGGTAGTAGGCGTGGTCGATGAGGTGTTAGATTGGCTAATGGGCGTGTGGGTTGTGGAGTTGGTGGCAGTATGCTTGAACGACTAGAGACGAGTAGGCGGGGAAGAGGTAGCAAGCTTGGGGTGTTGTTTGGAGCAGTTGTAGATATAGGAGGCGGTAGGCGCAGTAGGTTAAGTGGCACAACAAGTATGAGTTTCGAGAGGACACCGGAGCTTCACCCATTTCTGTTTTATATGGAAAAACCCGTTCATCAAACAAGACATGACGTGAGATATATTTTTTTTGGTGACCAAATCTAAACAATTATATCTCTTATGTAAGGTGCTATATCCAAGAAAAATACATCGACGAGACCGGGGGTCTAACTTATTTGTGGTGTAAGGTTGTAGCCAAGGATAACATAGACATCCAAAAATACGAAGCATTTCATAATTTGGTACTTGATGGAATAGTATCTCAAAGGGGCTCTTTTGTTTGAGTCGTGGGGTGGGGAGTCGGTTAATGGAATATACTACAGTAGCAAAGGCATGTTCCCAAAAGTTATGGGGGAGTGAGGCATGGTGAAGTAGAGCACGGCACTGTTTCGGTGATGTGACGATGTTTTCGCTCGAGCATGACCATTTTGTTCGGGAGTTTTGGGACATGAGTCGCGGTGGGTAATGCCATTGTCACATAGATATTTAGCTAGGCTTTGAAATTCCCCTCCCCAATCGGCTTGAAATGCTTTAATTGAGCGACCAAAATTTTTTCAACAACATGTCTAAACTTGATAAAGCAAGTTGGTAACTTCGATTTATATTTGATAAAGTAGACCCAAGAGTATTTGCTTAAATGATCATAAAATAGCACATAATAACGATTTCCATTGATGGACGAAACGAGGGATGGGCCCCATAAATCGGAACAGATTAAATCTAAAGGACTTGATGCTTGAAAAGAAGACTCGGGAAAGGGTAACTTGTGAATCTTTCCTACACTACAAGCATGACAAAGAGATGTAGAATCTCGGACGGACACACTAATGCTAGATCGGCGAAGTGCTTGTTGCACTCGTTTTAAAGGATGCATGACCCAAACGTGCATGCCAAGTAGATAATGAGCTCAAAAGGGCTTATGGTGAGTCACCCATAGAGCAACCTATTGGCATTGAATAAAGTCCATCACTAAGCTTCCCGGTGTGCAAAACCTTCTTCGTGTGGATATCCTTTATCAAAAAATAAGTGGGAAAAAATTCAAGAGAGACATTGTTAGATTTGGTAAAGGCACTTACTAACATCAAATTGTTAGAAGCCTGTGGAACAAGAAGAATATTATCAAGTGAAAATTGTTTGTTAGCAATGGAAAAAACAGATGAACCGATGCAAGAAATAGGAAGTGTTTTACCATTGCTAATTGTTACTTCTTCTGGACCATTGTACTCGGAGTGGATGCCTAAGTTTTCCATATCAGCTGTTAAATGATGCGTTGCTCCAGTGTCGACAACCCATGACTGTTGTGCTTTATGGTTAGGTTGTTTGGATGCCAAGTGAGACTCATGTTTGGGTGAGTGATGGAAGTTGCGTCTGTCATTGGTTTGTTTGGGTGAAGCACACTGACTGGCATGGTGTCCACTGCCTTTGCAATTGAAACAAAATTTTTGAGCAGAGTATTGTCGACTGAAACGGCTCCTGTCAATAGTGTGAGGGCCAAGTTGCTGTCTCGCAGAACCATTGCTTCTGCCTCTGCCACGGTAGCGTCCTCGAGTACCAGAGGAGTTAAAACCGCGAGCAGAAAATTATGCTGTTGGCGGCACTGGTTCATCATGTTCCTGTCGTGTTAGCTGCACTTCTTCACTGAGTAGCAATGAGAAGAGATCATCGTAGGATACTGGTGTAAGTCTGGCTTCTATGTTACGCACAAATGGATGGTTTACTGGAACTAGACCTCGTAGGATGTAATCTACTAAGTCTTCTTTTGGAATGGGATGTTGCAGCACTGCAAGTTTGTCCGAAATCTCCTTAGCACGCTGCAAGTAAGTTGGGATGTCATCATTCCTTTGTGCTAATTCAATCAAGCTGGTACGTAGTTGACTTACTTATGTGCGAGAGCCAGAGGCATAAATTTTTGTAAGCTTTTCCCAAGCTTCTTTGGCTGTGTTTATTCCTACCAAATGAGTGACAAGGTTGGCAGAGAGGGAGCTTACAATCCAACTTAAAACAACTTGATCTTGTGTATACCAATCGGTATATGCTGGGTCTGTTGCTACAGGTGTGGGAAGGCTATCATCAATGTGATGAGCCAATTTGTACCCACGTAATAATGGCAGCAGCTGAGTTTTCCAGAGGAGGTAATTGGCCGAGGTTAATTTGATGGATAGATGAGGAGTTATGTTGGGATAGGTTGTAGATGAGGGCTGCACTTGTTCTTGACGAGGGATAATTATTTGGTGAGGAGCAGAGGGTTGCTGGACAGCGTTCTGGTCTGCCATGGATGAAGCTTGGTGAGAAAAAAGAGCGGTGATGAACAGCAGTAGCTTTGTTGTTTTGGACCAAGCTGGGTTTTTAAACCTCGTAAAGCTCTGACACCATGAAAGAGTTGTTTATGATCCAAAGATAATAATACTGTTATTGAAGTATGGTATTTATATGTTACAGAGATGCACTACACAAGGACTGTTACAGAGACAAGAATTATAGCTGTGTAAGGAGTAAAGATATACTTGCATAAAGGATATGCATGAGAAGTGAGAGCCATGCAGTGATACGTAAATAAGAAACAGAGATGTATATGGACACGCAAGGCTTGAAGTATATCCTTATCATAGCTTTCCCTCCTTGTAATCAGTACTGTACAGATTTGAAATAACAAATTACTTCTTTTCATTTTCCTTCTTCTTTATAGTAAGAACATCCCAAAAAGATGAATTGCAGGCGTATTGGCCATTAGGAAGTCCGCTAATGTTGGACTTCATGGGAATCCTTTCGACAAGATCTACACGATGCAGGTCATCCTCCCCATTTTGTAGAAGAAAATGATTCAAGGACCTTTGAATTAATACCGAATCAAACCAAATCACAAGTCTTTCAAGAAGTAAAGACTAATCAAAATTATTACCGACTTGTATAAAAATTATTCAATTTTTTTTTTTTTTTTTTTTGGCTTTTCGGTAGGATGATGGCTCCAATTCTTGTCAACCTGCCTGTTATCTAATTATTATTGTTTTACAAGGAATACAAAATGAAAAATATCAATTTAATGTACTTGATGGCTGTGGGAGATAAAAGTATACTTGAATTCATGGTGGCAACTGGATGGGTGCGGGTTGGGTCAAAAAATTTGAGGACCAAAAAAACTTATACAAAATGAACCAAAAAAAAAATTGAAGGACAAAAAAACTTTTTTAAAAAATTATAAAGACTAAACTGAATGTTTTTGATAAATGGTTGGATAAATTAATATGGCTCGATGTAAATCGAATAAAAATTTATCCGATGATTTCTTCGTAAATAATGCATAAAATATACGTTTTATTAGTAGGATAAAAAATTAAATTAATAAGCTAGGTACCCCTACATGACCACCCCTAATATGGATTGGGTTAAAATGAGTTATTCATATCCATTGATGATCCATTTATTTTTAAATAGATTTTCATTCCCACTAAAACTCAGTGAATTCTTATTCTATCTATCAACCCATTTAAATTGTTTGACTAATTATAATCAATTTTACTATATATTGACTGACAAGAATTTAATTGCAAAACATTTTTTAGTCTAGGGACTAAATGTAAATTTTGAGGATAAAAACTTTTAAATAAGAACTAATTTTTAATAAAAGTAAAATGTAGGGACTAAAATAACTTTTTTAAAAAATTACAAGGATCAAAATGAATATTTGCTAAAATTTCAGTTTCTCTACACTATATTTTGAATCTTTACGACCCATTCTTTTAAAATAGATGGGAATAGAGGTGGGATAATGAGTATGAATAGCTTTTGTCACTTCCATTTTTTTTCGTATTTCAAAATGTTAAAGAAGAGGAAAGAAAAGGAATAGGAGGGAAAAATTTTTTTAAAAAAATAATAATAATGGAAAACTATGAACTGGAAATTTTACGGAAATGGACTTTAATTTTTTACTCTCAAATCTTTTGGACTTTATGAAATGTTGGATAGAGGGGATCGGAAGGCATCGTGTGTTTCCTTTTTGTGTTGCACAAGATTAGACAGAATTTTCTTTTCACCGAATCCGAATAGAATCAACCGGTTTCCCACAACTAGACATGGAAGTTTTTTTTTTTTTTATCATTACTGAGTTGCAAATAAAAGAGCAAATTTTCAGAGTTTACATGATATATGGTATGAAAATGGAACTTCAAGAAAGGCCGGCAATCTCCTTTTCGATTTATATAATCAAAGAACCTGTAAGAAAATCATATTAATTCGATCTGATCTAAACAAGATTCATAGTTGAAAATACCGGTTTAATTAGTGGTGGCAGTCGCACAAAAAGTATAAAGGTATTTTTGAAAAAGTCAACAAAAAACGTGTCAATCAATATTAAATTTTTTTTTTTTGAATAATTTTAGAAGCACATAATCTACTTTGTCCTGCTGTATTTAAAGAAAATGAATTTCTTTCTGTGCTGAACTTAAAAGATGTGAATTTTACAAACATAAACTATCATGTTCTTAAATATGAAATGATACAAATGAAAAAATAAAAATAAAAGAGAAAAATAATATTGTTTATTATCAATTGGAATCACACGACTTCTCGCAAGAAATGACATTCCAACGATACAACAAAAAATATATATATATATATATATACCAAAAGCTAAAAAAAAAACACACACACACACACGCACACAGTACTTATGCATATGATGCATATGATCGTGTTTCAAGGGTGTATTTGGGTGGCATTTGGGCAGCTGCAGATGCCAGAACCTGATTTCTTATGTGTTTCTGCTAGGTAGGCCTGTATGGCACTTGCTGCAAAGCCAAAAATAAAAGAGTACTTCACCACTGCGGTGGAAATAGGAGCCCTATAATAAATGATCCATCGCTTCAGAGTGTTCCTAAAATGGGATTCAATAGCTGTTTTAACATCGATAAAAGAAGAGGGATGGGGCACCAGATTGGTCGTCATCTCTTTGAAGAGTTTCGCTATCTCATCGCCACTTCCAATAGTAGTGCGGAGTATCCCCTGTGATCGCAGCTCCTTCACATCTTCAGGTTGATCAATGAGTGAACGCATAAAGCAAATAGAAGAAGTGAGCAGACCAGAAGACTCACCACTGCATGCTTCATAGGCTGCCAAGTTCAAAAGCAAGGGCTTGGTTGAGTCTTCTATGCTTAGTGGAGGAACGTGGAGGCCTCCCCCGAAAAAAGTTTGTTTGAACTTGACATCAGTGAGAATGCTGGCGTTGCTTGGTTTAAAATGGATTCCGACATTCTTCAGCTCCTTGACGGAATGATACCGATCCAAGCTTGTCCCCCGGTACCATTTTATCCCTCTTTGATCATGGCTTGTCTTAGGATTGATCATGATGAACTTGTTATAAAAAAGCTCGAGAAGATGATTAGCATCATTGTACGAAATATCATCGGACCTTGGGGATTTGAAACTTAATACTCTTGACAATTTGAAAAAATATTTGGATATCTTTTCCCTACATGACTCTCTTTGAAGGGGTAGTGCACGAATGCGTTCCAAGAAATCTTTAAGCTTACCCTTTTAATTTTGATCTTCACTTCCGGACTTCAACATCATCAAGGAGATGAGAACCTGAAAAGGGAGTTGGTTCTCTAGTAAGAACAAGTCCCTTGTAACCAAACCCACCTCTTCATTCCTCAGCTTCTGTTTCTCAAGCTCCCACAGTTAGAACCTGGAGAATGAAGTAGCCATCAAGAAACATCATCTGGGTGAATTTCTCATCGTTGAACTGATCTTTTTAACTCCTCTGCATAGCATCCCCTTGCATAGCCAATCAATTCTTTGACCTTGCCGCACATTTCTAGAGCAATCACCCTTTCATCTTTGAGAAACTGGCTGGCCAATTTAGTCTTGAGCTTCTCCATTTTCTCGAGTTCTTTCTTCCCATGGTGGTAGGGACCGATGGAAGACTATCCGCGGCTCGTAGCAATCTGTGTTCTCTTCCATTTCACGAAACTCTGATGGAACCCTTGGAATCATTGGCCCCATCAGTTGGTCGGAAACTTTGTCGAGTTCCCTACTTTCAGTCCTCCTGGAGTGCAGCCACTGATCAACAGTACTACCGCTTGGACTATGTGAAGGACTACGTGAAGGGCCCTGAATATTTAGTGCTACAGACATTGTTAGCACACACAACAACGAAAATTAAACAAGGACCTTTTCTCGATATATAATGCACATTAAGAGCAGGATATTTATGGATCTATTATATAGAACTAACTAGTCAATATTTATACCCAGTGATCGATCAATCTGGCTTGAAATTGAAGTAGCTTTTAGTTTGGTAAAAGCATTTTAGCTTACTTGGAAACGGAGCTAAATTACTTTGAGCATGTTTGGCCTCTTGTTATGCTATGTTGTGGTGGTATGTTTATTATTATTATTATTATTGAAAGGCTCGTCACCTTGCGCTACATAACGAAAGATAACTTTCTATCATTATATAATAATCAAATAAATCAAAATTATAAGAACTTTAGCCTGATTTACTAAAGGAAACTATTGAGTATACAATTGTTAGACTATATTATTTTGTGTACTGCTGTATTGTACTATTAAGTAAAACAATTAAGTTGTTTGGTAATAAACTATGATAAACTATGATGTTGTGTTGTGAGTAAATTTATTATTGTGCTATTTAAATTAAAATGAACATAAATTAAGCACTTAAACTTATAATTAGATTTTTAGTAGCTCAAATGGTTAAAAAAAAATTGACATTATTATTTTACATTTGATATGTTGTAGTATTTTATATAATTTTTCTACTAATTTAATTCAAATCCAAAATCCTATAAAAATTAACTTACTTGTGTAGTTCAGATATATCATCAACAATATATGCCAAGATAAAATATTCATTATCATTCATAAAAATTGTTCATAATTATGTGCTTATTTACATTAAAAAATAAATGCAAGTTTATTTTAAATAAATATTACTATAGAATATAAGGTAAAAACATAAAGTAATAATGTTTAGAATATTATAATAGTTATCAAGCTAAATATACACTATTAACTTAAAAAAAAAACTTATAAAGGTATTTTCTTTTTTTCAAAAAAATTAAAAGCCTTCTATCTCAATAAAATAAAATAATGATAATGATAATAGTAAATAAATAAAACATCGGCCCATAAGTGGAACCCTATGTGCCAAAGCCTTCTTAAAATCCATGTAATCACTATAGATGGAGCCCACTATCCAGTTAAGTTAATGATTTTTGCTCTTAATTAAATAAGTAATTAGTAACTTGTAATTCGAGCTAGACTCGAATTTGTTGTTATTATTATTATTCCTAGGAGCACTGATTGTTAGCAAAGATATGTGAAATGCGTGGGCAGGATAAATACATGCATGCATGGCCCTCCTCAATTGTATGGAAACCACTTTAATTTATACTCTCTAATCTTTAGAATTTTTTATAAAAATATTGGAGTACATTATAAATTAGTGTCTTTAGTTTTGAGAAAAAAATTAATGAGTCTTTTTTATTTTAAAAATGAATTATTTTATTCTTTAGTCAATATTGACTATACTTAATTTAAGATTATTTTATTTAAAAAATGTCATTCTTTTTCACCAATCCTTCCATTTTTTTCCTTTTTATTATTTCTTAAAATAAAAAAATAAATTAAAAATTTAGTTGCAAGAAAATTTAAAAATATATGGACTAAATAATTAGATTTTAAAACTAAAGAGACTAATTAATTCAATTTTTTGAACCTAAACGGACTAATTTATAATTTATTCTAAAATATTGTTATCTTTTTTGCCAGCAGTAGAAGTTATCCCCACCATAAATCACCTGTTTTCAATTTTGTGTTAAGCAAGAGAAGACAGAATTTCTTTTCACTCTGTTTTAGAATCAAGTGCAAAAATAAAGATAAAAAGAAAGATTCATAAATGAGAATTATAAATAATCTAAAAGGAGATTGCTTTCCCCAAAAAAAATATATATATATATATATATAATGATTTTTTTAGGCAATCTATCCTCTCTCTTTTTCCACCTTGCTCCTTTAAGTTATTATTTTATACAAAACAGACTTGAACTTTTATAATTGAACTTTTATTATTGTTGCAAAAAGATTCCTATATTTTTTGGCTGGGCTGGGCTGGGCTGTGAGCCTGTTTTTTCCAGGCTGTATACAGAAAGGGCTTGGTGTCAGCCCCACCTAGACTTTTTTTTCTCTCTCTCTCTCTTTGTGCTTTTATTTTTCATTATTTATTATTTACTTAATTTTTCTTTCCATAATTAATGATTACTTGTTTCATTATTTTTTAAAGATTTATTAACTAAAATTAAGCTTTCCTCTAAAGTAATTTGATTAAACACCTTCTTCTAATTTTTTTTTTAATAATCAATTTTTTTTATTAAAATAAAAAATATTGCTAGGATATATTTAAACTCAATATATATATTTGCTTTTGTTTGGTCTGTTAATTTGAAGCAGAAATCAAACAAAAACAGGGCCTGGACTATGGACTAGTCCATTGCCGGTCGGACAAACGGGCTGGACTATGGACTCGTCTCGAGGAAGTGATTTTATTAGAATATCAGCAACCTACTCATTTGTACTGCAATACTTCAAAATGACTGATTCATCAGACACAAAATCTCAAATAAAATGAATTCTAGAATGTCAATATGCTTTGTTCTTCCATGATAGGCTGGATTTTTTGTCATTGCAATTGACGTTCTGTTGTCGCAATAAATTTCAGTTGCTTCCTTCTGTTCTTAACTGATGTCTACAAGATTTCCTCTCAACCAGATTGCTTGACATACTGATGAAGTTGCTGCTATATTCAGCTTTAGATGAGGACAAGTCTGTTGTTACTTGCTTCTTTGAACTCCAACATATAGCAGTTAATCCAAGATTAAAACCGTAACTCGAAGTGAGAAAACAAAAAAAAGACATTAATTTGGTAATAAATTCACAAGGGCTAGCTAGCAACAGCTATTAGCTTAGAGTAAGATAATTAACTAATTTATATCTAAAAATAATGTTGTTTAGTTTATATATTATAACTCAATTAATATTAGTGTTCCCTATCTCATCTTGAGTTAGAATTTCTTCTTCATTTAAAAAAAATAAAAAAAGGGAAATAATATTGTTTATTATCAATTTGAATCACACGACTTTTTGAAAGATATGACATTCCAACGGTACAAAATCTATAACCAAAAACAAAAAAAGCGCACAAACAGTACTTATGCGTATGGTCGTGCTTCAAGGGTGTATTTGGGTGGCATTTGGGCAGCTGCAGTTGCCAAAACCTGGTTTCTTACGAGTTTCTGCCAGGTAGGCCTGTATGGCACTTACTACAAAGCCATAAATAAAAGAGTACTTGACCACTGCGGTAGAAATTGGAGCCCAATGATCAAGGATCCATCGCTTCCAAGTGCTCCTATAATGCGATTCAACACCATTTTTAACCTCCATAAAAGCAGAGGGGTTGGGCACCAGATTGGTCGTCATCTCTTTGAAGAGTTGTGCTATCTCATCGTCACTTCCAAGAGTGGTCCGGAGTATCCCCCGTGATCGCAGCTCCTTCACATCTTCACCTTGATCAATCAGCGAACGCATGAAGCATACATAAGAAGTGAGCAGACCAGAATACTCACCACTGCATTCTTCATAGGCTGCCAGGTTCAAAAGCAAGGGCTTGGTTGAGTCATCTATGCTCAGTGGAGGAATGTGGAGGGCTCCCAGGACCAAAGTTGGTTTGAACTTGACATCTGGGAAAACCTTGGTGTTGCTCGGTTTAAAATGGATTCCGACTTTCTTAAGCTCGTTGACAGAATGATACCGGTTCCAGCTTGTCCCCCAGTGCCATCTTGTCCCTAGATCACTGCGTGTCTGAGGCTCGATCATAATGAACTTGATATAAAAAAGCTCGATAAGATGATCAACAATATCATAGGGAATATCCTCGGAACTTGGGGATTTTGATCTTACTATTAATGCTATCGGCATTTTGGAAAGACATTTGGATATGATTTCCCCACATGACTGTCTTTGTAGGGGTATTGCATGAATGTGTTCGAATACATGTTCAAACATAGCCATCAAATGTTGATCTTCAATGCGGAATCTCAACCTCATCAATGAGAGGAGAACTCCAAAAGGGAGTTGGTTCTCTAGTAAGAACAAGTCCCTTCTAACCAATGCCACTTCTTCATTCCTCAGCTTCTGTTTCTCAAGCTTGCCATCGAGAAACTCGAGAAGGAAGTTGCCATCAAGAAACATCATCTGGGTGAATTTCTCATCGTTGAACTGATGTTTTAACTCCTCTGCATAGCATCCCCTTGCATAGCCAACCAATTCTTCAACCTTGCGGTACATTTCTTCAGCGATCGATCTTTCTTTTTGGACAAACTGGCCGGCCAATTTACTCTTGAGCCTCTCCATTTTCTCTAGCTCTTTCTTCCCATGGTGATAGGGACCGATGGAGACAACCCGCGGCTCGTAGCAATCTTTGTTCTCTTCCACTTCACGAAACTCTGATGGAACCCTTGGAATCATTGGCCCCATCCGTTTGGAAACTTCGTCGGGTTCCCTGCTTTCTGTCAAGAAGTCCAGCCACTGATCACCAGTACTGCAGCTTCGACTACGCGAAGGACTACGTGAAGGACTGCACGGAGGGCCCTGAATATTTAGTGCTACAGACATTGTTAGCGCACACAACAATGAAAATTAAACACGGACCTTAAGAGAAGGATATATGGATCTATTGTATAGAACTAACTAATAAATTTATACCTAGTAATCCATCAATCTAGCTTGAACTTGAAGCAGCTTTTAGTTTGGAAAAAGCATTTTAGCTTACTTGGAAAGGATCCCAATTTCTTTGAACATTATTTACTTTCATGTTTTATATATCATCAAAAGCATATAACAAGATAAAAATATTCATTATCATTCATAAAAATTATTCATAATTATGTACATATTTACAATGAAAAATAAATACAATTTTATTTTAAATAAATATTGTTAGAATATAAAGTAAAGACGTAAAGTAATAATGTTTAGAATATTATAATAAATATCAAAATAAATATGCACCATTAACTATTTCATAACTAAAAAAATAATTACAAGGTTATTTTCGTTTTTTCAAAAAACAAAACGCCTCTATATGTATCAAATAATAATAATAATAAATAAATAAAACATCACCCCCATGATCGGAACCTTATGTGCCAAAGCCTTCTTAAAATCCATGGACCCCGGAAATGCCATAACCATAGAAGAAGTATATGTCAATGATTTATACTATCAAAGTTAAAGATTTCTGTTCTTATTAAATAATTAGCTCTCTCTCTCTCTCTCTCTCTCTCTCTAAAACATTGTCTACTTTATATATATATAATTCTGATATAATATAATAATTAATATTTTTTAATCTATATAAAAAAATTTTAAAAGATAATTTATATGATTTTTTTTTTTAAATAAAGATATGCAGTAACATGTGAGATGCATGGGAAGGATAAAGATATGCATGCATGGGCCTCCTCAATTCTCCGAACCACTTTTATTTGTACTTTTTAATCTTTAGAATTTTTATAGAATAATTTTTTTCTTTTCTATCTTTTTTTTTTTTCCTTTTTAGGCAAGCAATAGAATTTTTTTCCACTCTGTTTACGCAACCGCAAACATAAAGATAAAAAGAAAGATTCATAAATGAGAATCATAGCTGAAACCAACATGATTGTGTCTGTACTTTATGAGTCAAATTCAGGAAATTAAACATGCATCTTTTCTCAAACATACCACATATAATACATCCATTTTTAATAGCCAAATTACTTGGTAGGTCATTCTAACATTTATTATGTTTTCTTAATTAAAATTGTATAATATTAAAAAATGAAATGGTTCTTAAATAAATAAAAATAAAAAATCAATATTCATGTCCAATTAAAGGTTCTTTGTTTTTTTTTTTTTTTTTTTTGGGAACTGCTTCAAATTGAAGTGGAATGCTAACAGTTCTTCGCTTCGAAAAACAAGAAAATCAAGTATTGAAGAGTTCTTTGCATAGAAGATATCTGGATCTATTAGATAGAACTAGCTAATTAACATTTATACCTAGTGATCCATCCATCTTGCTTGAAATTGAAGTAGCTTTTAGTTTGGAACCAGTATTTTACCTTACTTGGAAATGGAGTTTAATTACTTTGAGCATGTTTCTCCTCCATAAAAAGAAAGATTCATCAATGAGAATCATAGCTAAAACCAATATGATTGTGTTCGTGTACTTTATGAGTCAAATTCATGAAGCATCTTTCTTTTTCTTTTTCTTTTTTTCAAACATAGCATATTCTAACATTTTTTTTTTTTTAAACAAGGAATAAGAAATGAAAAAAATATCAATTTAAAGTACGTGATGGCTGCGGGAGATAACAGTGAATGTGAATTTCGTGATGGCAACTAGAAGGGTATGGGGTGTGTCAAAATGAGTTATTCAAATCCATTTATGATCCATTTATTTTTTAAATAGATTTCCATACAAAATAAAGCTCATTTGATTATTATCATATCCATCAGCTCATTTTTTTTAACTTACACATTCAACACACGTTGTTTTAGAGCTTTTATTACAACTAATCTGTTAGAATTTGAAACTATGAACTCTTGAAAAAAATTATTACTTACAAGCTTTTGGTTATCTATAAACTCATTTGAATTGTTTGACTAATTTTAATCAACTTTACTATATTTGACTTACAAGAATTTAATTGCAAAACATTTTCAAATTTAGAGACTAACTTGTATTTAATACAAAGTTTGAGGGTAAAGACTTTTATACAAGAACTAAATTGTAATAAAAATAAAATATAGCTACCAAAATAAAATTTTCGAAAATTTTAAAGATCAAAATGAATATTTGCTAAAATTTCATTTTCGCTAAACTATATTTTTAATCTTTATGAACCATTCTTTTAAAATGGATGAGAATATAGGTGGGGTAATGAGTAAGAATAGCTTTTGTCACTTCCATTTTGTTTCATATTTCAAAATGTTAAAGCAGATAAAAGGAAAAGAAAAGGAGGGAAATGTAAATTAAAGAAAGAAATAAAGAAAAACATATATAAGGATCCTAACAATAGCAATTGTTTATTTCTATTCTGAAAGTTCTTTTATTATGAAGTGTCGGAAGTCTACGTTCAGTCGGAAGTCTATGTCGGAAATCTAAAAATATTCAGTACATTTTCCAAAAACATTTTCAATTTAATCCCCGCAAAAGTCCAAACAAAGAACATATTCCAATTTTTGCCCCTAAAGAAAAAAAAATACTGCTGTATTTAATCCTAGAAGATAGAATATTTCGTCCCTTTTCATTAAGATAGAAATACATATATATATGCTTTGTTTTGGTTTGAAACATTTTAATTATTTTTTTTTTTATCTCTAGAAAGAAAATATTATTCATTCTCACCCCGAAAAAGAGACACCTTAAATTACACACGTACATATATCAGAATACATTGAGATTAATTCATTTGTATACGAAAACAATGTTTATTGTCAATTCGAATCACACGAGTTCTTGAAAGAAATTACAATATTACAAAAATAGTGGATATGATGATCATGTTTCAATGTTAAGATCGGGTGGCATTTGGGCAGCTGCAGAAGCCCAAACCTGGGTTATGTCGCGTTGCTGATACGTAGGCCTGTATGGCGCTTAATACAAAGCCAAAAAGAAAAGAATACTTTACCACCGCTGCAGAAACAGGACCCTTGTAGCGACGGATCCGTTGCCAGAAGGGGCTTCCAACATGCGATTTAATGGCATTCTTAACACTGGACAAAACAACGGGGTCGTCCACTAGATTGGTTGCAATCTCATTGAAGAGTTTTGCTACCTGATCGTCATGGCTTTCAATTGTAGTGAGGAGTATGCCCTTTGATCGCAGCCTCTTAACATCTTCAGGGCTATCAATCAATGAACGCATAAAACATACGTAAGAAGTGAACAAATGAGGAGATGCAGAACCAAGGCAAGCTTCGTAGGCTAGTAGGTTCAAGAGCAAGGGCTTGGTGTACTTATCTATGCTTAGTGAAGGAACATGGATTTCTGCAGAGAGAAATTTTGGTTTGAACCGGATATCAGTGAAAGAACTGGTGTTGCTTGGCTTCAGAGCTGATCCCCACCTTCTTAAGCTCCTTCACAGGATAAAACCACTTCCAGCTTTTCTCCCGCTGGTACCATCTTGTCCTCGAACCGGAAAATGGTATTTCCTTTTCCTTGACGAAAATGAGATGAAAAAGTTGAAGAAGATGACCATCGAAGTTTGGTTGATTACCAGAAAGCATTTGAAATTCTGGAATTAATCGTTTTGATAATCTTCGTCTGCCATAAATAGTCGACATCATTTCCTTGTATGAGTACTTTTCTTGATGAGGTATCGCACGAATGTGTGTGAACAGATCTTCAAACAATTCCTTCAATCGATCCTCATATGGGAAGTTTAACCTCATCAATGAGACGAGAATTCGAATGGGAAGTTGGTTCTCTAGTAGGAACAAGTCCCTTGTAACCGAAGCAGCTTCTTCAGTCGTCATATCCAGTTCTTCAGGCTCGCAGGAGATAAAATGGATAATGAAAAAACCATCATGGACCATCATCCGGATGAATACTTCATCAGGGATCTGATTTAAGTCTTCTGCATAGCATCTCCTTGCATGGTTGAGCAATCCTCTGACCTTCCTGTACATTTCATTCTCCATTTCGCTGGCAAACCGACGAATACACACAGCCTTGAACTCCTCCATTTTCTCGAGTTTCTTATCCCCATGGTGATAGGGACCAATAGAGACCACCATCGGATCATAGCAACCTTTGTTCTCTCCTATTTCACGAAACTTTTGTGGAACCCTTGGGATGAAGTTCTGCAAAGCACTTGTAATTGGAGAGCTCTCAATCTCCAGTTCTGTAGATATTGTGAATTAGTAGCAAACTTTAATAATCGAGGGATTTTCTACTTCATTAACTCACATTAGCAGATGATCAAGTGTGTGTGTGTGTGTGTGTAGAGACAAAGGCAGAGAACTACTAAATAAGCAAATCTAGCTTGAACTACTAGCATTTTTTCGCTTGGTTTTTCATGGTAATTTATTTATTTTTCTTTTTCTTTTCCTTAAAACTTTCTTCATGAATTAGAGTCAAGTTTTCCATTCTCACTTGCTGATAACCGAACCAAAAATAAGTATTAACAATCAACTTCGATCAAGAGACTAATTAATGATTTTTTCAAAATTAGGAAATCGAAGTACAAAATTTAAAACTTAATGTAACCTGTGTTCACTTCCACTTCTTGATCATCTGATGGAACCCTTGAAATCGTTGGACTATGTGAAGGACCATGCGAAGGCCCCTCAATCTTTAGTGCTACAGACATGGTTAGCACACAACAATGAGAGAAAGATATGGATCTAGTATACAGAAATAACTAATTAATAGTTATACCTTACTTGGAGTTAAGTTTAAGTTTGGAACAAAGATCGATGAGGTTAGAGAGCTCCCAGTATTTAGGGCTGCAAACATTGTTAAGTAGCACACACTAATTAGTTAATAATCTAGGGATTTTCTTACTTGATTAATTAACATTAATACATGATTAAGTATAGCTCGAAATTAGTAACTTTTAGTTTGGGATAAGTATTTTAGCTTGCTTAATTGAAAGTGGAACTTACTTTTTTAGAATAAATTATAAATTAATCCCTTTATCTTGTTTTAAGAATGAATCAATTAGTCTCTTTTAGTTTAAAAACCAATTATTTAATCTTTTGATCAATGTCGATCATATTTAATTTAATATTATTTTATTTATTAATAAAAACCATATTTTCTCATCAATTCTTCCATGTTTTTTACTTTTTTTATTCTTCAAAAAAAAATTAAAAAAAAAAAACAAAAAGAATTGAGTTACAAGAAAATTTAAAATATAAGAATTAAATAATTAACTTTTAGTAAGGAGAACTAATTAATTTATTTTTTTTCCAAAATCAATATTCAAAAGTTTGAAGTTTGCAAAAAAAAAAAAAAATTAAAATCAATCACATGTAACTCACGTATACTATTACGATTATATTTTTTTTAAAAAAAAAAAACCTATTTAACCGTCAACCGTCCTCATTCCTAGCCATATAAATCAAACACATTCTATGTGACATTGTTAATTTCTTGAAATCAGATTATGATCAATGACAAATATTTAGAGAATCTAAGATAGTTGTGAACATTAATTATTACAATATTCTGTGTACTAAATTCATTAAATCCTGTTAGATTTTTCCGTTCCAAATTATGAACGTAAATCAGCACAGGAAAGGGTGACAAAAACAATTAGACACTTCCATATACAACATCATATACAGATACAGACCTCGTGATACCCAAACTACTGCAGCCATCTACCATAACATTGTTCCAATCCCTTCTCCTTGAGTTCTTTTTTCTTCTTTTCTTTTTCGAACATTTTTCTGGCAGTAGTAGTTCTAGTTTCTACAAACAATCAAGCACAAAATCATGAAAAGTAGCCTGCCTACCCATCATTCTTCAGCTGTAAAATCAGGTTCTGCTGGCTTCTGCAGCAGCATGGCTGGAACTCTATCTGCCACCCTTGCCTTGCGATTGCCACCACGCCGTAGAGCACGCAAAGCGTTAGCAGCGAATCTAGAGGCGTATATAGTGGCACCTAAACTTGGTGAACTACCACTAGCCTTGGATAATGCATCTTGCAATCTATTCTCCTCTTGCCGAAGAGATTCTTCAAGCTTCTTTTTACTGTAACGACGCCATGCAGCCTGTATAAAACATGCTGCCCATGTCCTCCACTGCTGGGAATAAAACCTGAAAGTGTGTCGGAGTTGCTTACTGTGAAGACGACGGAATTGAGAAGCAACAAACTTCAAGTCATCAGCCACTAGAGCGAAGGCTTCAACTTCTGTAATGGTTCGAACTGTTCTAGTTGAGATGGGAAGATTAGATGAGGAGTGGGGATCTAAAGCCCACGTGAGAAGTTCTTCTCCACAGAAGTCACCGGCCTTAAGCTTTTCAGAGTTGAAGAAACCAGTTCTTCCACCATTGGTGGTCATGGTCAGTAGCTTGCCTCGCATAACAAAGAGCATTTCATCAACCGGGTCTCCCTCACGAACAATGTAGCTATCCTCTGTGTATAGCGCTGGCTTGAGACGGTCACACATTGCATCTAGTAATTGTTCATCCATTTTTTCAAACATCGGCACCTAAGAAGCACATCCCAAAAATTAGAATAGAGTAAACATCTAGTAATTACCCAAGGATGCAAGGAGATTCAATTCACAAAGTAAATTTCTGCAGCTTTCTTCTTAGTGGGTCATGGGGTATGCATGCAAATTAAAATGACTAGTTAGGACATCCATTTTCAGGCATGAAATGAGTGGGCATTGAGAACTTAAAGCTCTTCATATAACACTTACAGTTTTTTTTTTTTTTTTTTTTGCTTTTTTCCTTTTTAGCAAAACATAAAAAAATGGACCTTTTCCCAAAAAGGCAGGTTTAGCAAGATTGTCATAACACAACTACACAAGTCGTCTCCAATAACATTTTACTAAGTAGTTCTCAAGATTTACCATGAAAATGCAGGTTAACTAGTCATCTCAATAAAATGCTACTCAAAAATGTTGATTACAAAATGAACAGGTTAATCTATGAATTATCCCTCCACGTGGTTGCATTTTTTTGTTAATCAGATAAACAGATAAAAGGATTCAAGAGCAGCTAAAAGCAGTGTCTGTCCACAGCTCAGTAAAAGCACAAAAGCTGGAAACCAAATAGACACTGTTCAAATGTAATGCATTTTTTCCTCAGAACACCTACCAACACCAGTATATACGCAGAGAGAAAAACATGAAATAAATTGGGAAATACACTATGATATACTGATTCAAAAACACATTTGCAACGAAAAGAGATTAGGCCAACATTTGCAGTTAGTATAAAATAAGTAGCAAGGGAAATATCAGTCAAATCAACATCAATATGTGCAACAACAGTGGAAAATTACAACAGGAAGAAGAACTCACTCTCATGAGCAGAGCCAAACAAAGGTGACGCTTAATGTCCCTTCTAAGGTCCTTGGGAAGATTATGGACAAGAGTCTCTTCATCAACACCTCTAGTTTCTTGCCATCTGTATTGTTCATACCGTCTGATCCGCTCCCTTATATTATCAGGAAGCAAGCGGTGGGACATCCACTGTTCTGCATCTCTTCTTTTAATTCTCATTTCCTCCAATCTTGTAGTGGTGGATTGCAAATATGTCTGATTAAGAGTAGCTTCAGTTCACCAAATCATAAAATATATGTGTGCCTATGAAATTAAAAGCTGTGTCTCGACCATTTTATGCACTAATATCACATGCTTGATCTGTAAACTAAACTATTAATGAACTTCCAAGTACCCATGTTCCTTGGATTGTCCAAAAATCAAGATGGCACCCCTCTGACAACGGTAAAGCAAACCAACTAAGGAGCAGCATGTCATTGGCGACAATGATGCATAAGAAACCTATGTACCATCCTCAAAGCAGCATGACAAATACTAGATCTTTTCTTTCAAAAGAGAAATAAATGCAACCATTCAAGTTATTAATTATAGACTCCCCTAGAGGCTAAGCTACCCTCCCAGTGACACCAAATGCAACCTATATAGGTCCTTTTAATAACTGTTCAAAAGATGCTTGAACAGGTGCTTGTGGGGCTTAATTTTGGGATCGTACAACGTAAACATAAGATGTATGCTCCCAACAATAAAAATTGAATGAAATCATGCTTGAATTAGAAACCAGCACCACTATATTTCTCTGAATATAATTGCATTACAAATAGCTATCACCAACCTGCATATTTCCAATGAGAAATGAAAATAGTACCAAGCCGGAGATAGAAATGAAAACTGCAAAGCAGATTTCCCAGACATAGGTACTTGTTTCAAGATTTTGACCAAGAGAACTGCAAAAGGCACACATAAGATATCAGAGAACCCTTTCAGTAGCATTCATTATAGGACAAGAATGGAGAGAACATAAAACTATACAAGGAATTGGACAGAAAAAAAATACATATGGGAGTGGACTAAAGAAGAGCACATAAAACCAAGATTCAAAGGGCAATCAAAATATCATTGGTGTGCACATGCATGCACATGTGCATGGGGGGAAGGTCAAAGACGAGATGGGGACACAAAAACAAAGGTTCAAAAGCCCTAAACAACAAAATGGTGATCATAAACATTATAAAAGCAGAGACCTTTGCAGAACATTCACCACAATATTTCAATAAGGACATTCCAGAATTTGCAACTGTAGAGTTGCAGGTTTCAGTACAACCACCTCAAGAAAATTGCTAAAGGACAGGACTGTTCTCACATACTCCCTCTAAAGAGTAGGGGGGAACATAATTGGGTAGTGATCTTTAACCAAATGAGGTTACGAAGACCAATCACTTCATAATTTATTGTCCAGCCTATCAGCCTTACTAGATAATGCATAAACACCATGTTTCCCCAGCAATATGGAAACAAATTAAATGACGATAGAAATGCCCCAGATCCCTATCATATATCCCATCCTTTCTACTCCGCCAGAGGCTCACCTAAAGAGTAAGACAGTGGCCAATAAGGGCACTGATTAACGTGGCACAAACACCATACACCCAATTGTATAATGCATGATGTCTTTGGAAAGAAACCACAAGATGGTTATGTTGAACAACTACTTGAACAAAAGGGGAAAACAGGATACACATACGCACCTAAGATTTTGCAGGCCCCACCAAAAACAGTAAAAGAACTTCTGTGGAAAATCCATGGATGACCAAACAACACCAGTCTGAAGGGCATCAAGGAATATTCCAAAATTGAAGATCGTTTCATTTGGTGTTTGTATCGGGCAATAACCATCAAGAAATGTGAGGTTTTCACCACCACCAGCTCTATCACAAAACAAAAATTCACGCTTGCATCCATTATGCTTCCCACAGGCTTTTCTCCAACAATTTGTCTCTCGTTCTATTGAAAACAAATACCAAAAGGCTCCAAGTACCTAAAATTTGAGCTAAGCCAATTAGTAGTCTGGAAATTATGCTCAAGTCAGCAGATGCACTTTCAATCACAATTAAATTCTGACTAAAGGAAAAAACCAAGAAACAAATCCTCTGGCATAATGCAGCTGCTGAATTTGATGAAATTTTTAACAGAAATGAATTCATGAAAGACAATGACAAAAGCTTCAAAAATTATGAAAAAGACCCCTTTTCATATTCTTCTTCAATTATCCATCAACCCATCGTATCATTACTTGTTCAATAGAATGAGTCAAACCCAAATCTATCGGTAAACAAAAAGCATATGAGCACAA